GGTTTTAGAGTCATACTCAGAAAAGTCCTTCCTGAAACACCTTTGATGACTTTACAGACATCTAGTAACATTAAAAACTACAGCTCAAAGGCAAACCTGAATAAATGACCTTGAAAAACATGAGAGACAAGAACACAGCAAAAAAATTATTCTAGGTACAGAACATATAGCAAATCATAGAATCACAGAATCATTTAGGTTGGAAAAGCCCTTTAAAATCATCAGGTCCAACCACTAACCTAGCACTGCCAAGTCCACCACTACACCATGTCCAAGCACCACAAACCACTTCCCTGGGCAGCCTGTTCCAATGCTTGACAACCCTTTCAGTGAAGAAATTTTTCCTCATGTCCAATCTAAACCTCCCCTGGCGCAACTTGAGGCCATTTCCTCTTGTCCTATTGCTAGTTACTTGGGAGAAGAGACCGACACCCACCTCGCTACAACCTCCTGTCAGGTAGTTGTAGAGAGCGATGAGGTCTCCCCTCAGCCTCCTTTTCTCCAGGCTAAACAACCCCAGTTCCCTCAGCCGCTCCTTGTAAGACTCGTGCTCTAGACCCCTCACCAGCTTTGTTGTATCAACTGTATCTGAACTAGAACTGGTATGACTGGAGTTGTTCCTGCCTTATTGTAGACATTGTGGAGACATCCCTAAGGCGCTGATGTGGTACCATGACTTCCCCTTAATCAACAAACACGAGTTCAACTGAATGACAAGCTGGAAAAGATACATAAAACTTAGCTGGGAACTAAGACTGAATATATTAACGTGAGTACTGCCACAGGAACTGTCTCCATGATTAAACATAACAGGGTCAGGATTTTACTGTCTGCTTCTGGATATTGAAAGACATCATCTAAATTATATAATTCAAAGTAAGCATACCCATACACATCAATAGAAACAACAAACAAGCCTCTTGCGGCTTCACTGATTGCTTAGGTCTGGCAGGTAAGACTGGTCATTATTCTGAGCACGGGGGTAAGCTCAGAACTAGGTCAATGTGCGTTATTGTAAACAAATTTAACAGCTCAGCTGAACAAGAACGTCTTGCAGCCTGAAAAGATGGCAAAAGGTCCAGTAATGGTAACAAAGTGGTACTAGCCTGTCCATGGAGACACATAGCAAGTCTCCGCCATCAAAATATAACTGCAAATTCACCACAAGAAAAAAATATAAGATGAAAGGAAGCATGAAATAAGGAAAGATGGTGTCAATTTTGATGATCTATCATAATCTTCATTAACTAGAAGCATGTTACGGTGATCTCCAAAAGGAATCATTTCTGATGTCAGAAACTAAAATTTCTGACGATGTGCTCCATGTCCTGGAAATATCTGCTTTTTAAAGTATTTCCTCCTTAACTCAATAACATTATCAAAGGCAGTTTGTGAGGAAAGAGAATTTATTCTTGAGAGCCAAGCAAAAATTTCATCCTGGCAGGTCAGAATAAAGTAGAATCCTAACCCACACAGACTTTAGCCTTGGAATAATATTTGAAAAGCTCTAAACTAAAGAGACTTGGGTTTCACAGAGTTTTGCTGAATGAATTTATATTGTGATTGCAGAGTCTCCATGGAGGCTCTGGCTTCCTGGCTTTACCAGTTGAAAAAACTGCACTGATAATCTGAAGGAAAGCAACTGTTTTCTCCTGCTGTCCATCACAATCCGTTCAACACAGAGTACCTAGGATTCTTGTACTTCACTCTGAGAAGTTCAAAAACCCCCCATCTTCCCTCAAGCTCAGTCTATCCTTTATCCTATTATTTTGACTGTTCAACGATTTACAGTATTGACAATGCACTTTCTCTAGCAATTGTTTCCATGTAATTTCCAAAGCAGGATGTTCCTCTTCTTAAAAATATAAAAAACCCCCAGAACATTTCTCTACACACTGAAAAATCCATCCATCAGTGTGATAATCAACTTCAGCTCCTGGCTGACATTGCTTCACACCACCCGTGCAAGCAACATGACTTCAACTCATTAATGGGAATCACATATCATTTCCTTCATTAACGTACATCACTTGTGTGGTTAAACCAGCACATTCCCATTGTTGCTGATGCTGAATATAGCGTTCTTATCTTGTTGCTCACCCAGTTCAGTGTCGCTTCAGCTGTAACCAAATTTTGAGTTTAGCTGTGAATGAAATCATTCCAGCTCAGGCCAGTAACAGCCCAGTAATCCCAAACCCACCTGAACCAGCAGCAGTATAAGGCACAGAAACCAGGGCTCATGATCCATGTGCTGCTGAGCCCAAGGCAAGGGGGGGACCGAGGGGGAGGAGGAGGCAAAAGGGAGAGACTGAGAGATGATGCAAACTTTCACACCTTCAAAGTCACCATAGTAAGCACGTCTGCCCTAAGAGATACCTGTTTTCAGTGGAACGACTAACCAAGCAGTATTTTCCTTGATTCAAAGCTGGTTTGATGTGACAAAGATTTAAAAGCAATAGCTTAGGTCCAGTTCTAACTGGAGAAATTAAAAAGCATGTGGAAATGAGCTTCCCCTTCAGGATCCAGTTCCGTTTGACACCCTGGATAGATAAAAACCCAAAGTCTCAGAAATGAGCTAGATTTGAAGAAGTTAGGTATATTTTTTCAGGGGTACAAGGCTTGGCACAAAAAATTATTCTCACAGCTGTGCCAAATTCCTGGAGGATGGTTTATCCTAAATCTGACTGGTCTACTTCTCCTCTTTCCTTCATCTGTCCAGTCTCTCCTTAAACATTTTAAAATTACAGATGTCTTGTAATTCAGACAGTGGGGTAAATATGCATAAAATGATGACGCTTGTGAGGAATTTGCTTCACAGCCAACACACAATGCCTGCTTTACAGTACATCTGAGAAACCTCATTTTCAGCTCATTCCAATAATGTGTCTGACTAGAAACATTTAAAAAAAAAAAAAATCACAGGATGGCAAGAGATATACACATTCAGAATGGCTCTTCTCAGAAAACAAACACGTTTATCATTCCTCTCCAAAGTTCCCAGGGGACCATGCTCAAATCCCAGGTGTACCAAGCAAAGCCAACGTAGTGGTGGGCTTGGCAGTGTTAGGGTAAAAGTTGGACTCGATGATCTTAAGGGTCTTTTCCAACCTAAATGATTCTATGATTCTATTATGCGTCAGTACCCCTCTCCACCTGGGGAGTGACGGAGTTCAGGTGGAGAAGGGTATCACCAGCACACCCACAGCTGTTCCTGTGGAGCTCCCATTCACTCTCTCAGGGTGAGCAGTGGGCATCCTGGCACAAGACAGCCGTGCACACAGACAACGCTGGATCTCAACCATTATTCCCTGCCCAGCTGATATCAGCCTATTTATTCTTCTAATGGAGCCATTTATGGAAGGCTGAGACAAATGGTTCTAACTTAGTTGTCAAAGAACCCCACACCATTAATATTTACAAAGTGCTTCTTGTGGGTGCCATCTCAGTCTAAACACTATTTGTTTCTTCAAGAAACACAAAGCTCTGAAAAAGAAGAGGAGCATAACCTCCATAATCACCAGCATATGTAATTCTTCATCTTTTGAAACAACACTGAAAGGATGCATTTTTAATGCTTTATTTTTGTTTTGTCTCCGTTGCTTTAATATTCCTAGAATCTTGAGTACAACATTTTTCCTTTTAAATGCTCATGTTCTTTCCCATTTGTCTAATATTGATTTACCTCCTGCCAGTTGTGCAGAACTCTAATTTAACACGCTTTAGTTGGATCCCTTGTTTTCAACAATCTTCACGAATGCTACCAAGAGAGCTCAGAAAACGAAAGACGCTAGTTAACCAAGCAGCACAGAGCATGGAGAACCATTATTTGTGTAGATATCCTGTAAACATAGTGGCTTTATGTTTATTTTTACCAATAGCTGGCATCACAGTTAACAGTTTTAATTATCCTTATTTAGAGTCCTGAAAGACGACAAGAAAGAGATCATTTGGGACCTTTTCTACTCAGGAGCAGGAACACATTAAAGTGACTTGATTCAATTACAGTCATTTAAACTCTTTATTTAGTTTTCTACCATTTGGAAAAAATACCACAAACCTCTGATTTGCTTTAAAGTTTTAGATTTTATCACCAAATGGTTGTGAAATGGCAAATTTGTTGGTATAACCTGAATGATTATCAGAGGTGTCAGTTCCTCTTAAGAAGCTGGGAGACCATATACTTCTCGTCATTTTCCAGGGTAAAAAAACATAAAGAGATTTTAAATATTTAATAAGAAGAAGAATGCTCCAGAAATTGCTCTTCAGTGGAATACATGCACCTAAGGCTAGAGGAAGCACTGAAAGTTTTAAAAAGTAAAGCACTCATCCTAAAGCACATCAGCTTTTAGTAAGACATCACAGATGATTTTTGAGTTGGTAAGGGCAGAAGGACAACATTAAGAAAGCAGAGGGACTCTGGCCCCTCTCTCATCTCGAGTAACATGGGGAGCGTCCGCCCATTCTGCTGGGAAGTCAGGGGAAAGCCACTCATCTTGCATCAGCCAATATGACCAGCACCAGAGTCTTCAGAAATGTTATTTTTTTATTCTGCTTAACCATTTAACCACACTGCACAGAATCTTAATTTGCCTTGGTATCTTAGTCCCATTGAAAAAGAAAAAAGCGAGAAGCAAGGAAAAGATCTTCCACAGGCAAGACGTTACACAAGAGGAACAGAAGCAACATGACTTTCCGTATGGCTAAACTACCTCCTGAAATGTGATGTAGGTTCAGCTGTGATGCAGAATAAGAATACACCAGAAAGCAGTACAAAGTAACTTGAAGTTGTCAGGTTTAATTAATAGGTACCTAAAAATGCCTGACTGACTTAAACAAAGCATTAAGGTCCTATTGATTATAAAAGGTGTCATAATCAATCTGATGAAGACATTAATCAGAGTAGGGAAACAAGCAAGTCACATAACTCAAAACTGATGTCTTAATTAAGCAAATAAGCTACTAGATGCAATGCAAAGCACACTGAATATTTAAAGAAGTACCTGGCCAGAGCTGATATGGCTTCTTCATTTTTTTAGTAGAGCTACAAAAAATTTGAAAAGAAACAATCTCAACCCTTATCACTTATATACGTCTGACAAAGTTTTTGATCCCCCTGCTGAGACCCATCTGTATCACAAATTTAACACGCTGGTCCTTGACTGCCTATGTCATTTTTAAAATAGGAGAAAGGCTCCTCAATCACTTAGACCTTTAGAAAATATTTAAGAGTTTTCACTACCTCCAGTTTTCTGTTTCTTCCCTTAATACCATTCAAATTGAACATGTATTTTTATCATCTGTTCAGTCTTAAAATGCTGTCTCTCTTTCTGCCTTGCAAACAACCTGAGGACACAGTGATCACATCCAGTTCGGTCTTTCCTTTGATTGCTCAAAACAAGCAATCAAATAGCTGTCTACATGCAAGTTCACAAGCTAAAAGCTATGCTGAGCATTCAGAAGACAACACTCTGGAATAATTCACCACCTGCGTACTCTTACCCTGTACCAACAGTACCCGTGCACGATGTTAGCACAGGTTAGCTACAGCATTGTCAGTTCCCACCAGCTTTTCCGGCTCTAGCTTCTCCAATTAGACAGGTCTTGTGCTACAGAAGTATGAGGGTTTCCACAGTGTATAAAAATCCATCCAACGCCGGCTTGATTACTGATCCTGTCTGATTGCAGACAGTACCGGCTTCAGTGCAAGGCCCAATCCGATTACCTGGGAGCAATTTCTTAGGCTGTCCTGAAATTGTAGTCAGGCATTTAAAAGGATTTCTCCCAGAATCAGACACAACAACAACAACGAAAAGGTAAAGACCAGAAGCATCCGAAGACCATCACAATCCTGCCTAAGCATCCTGTTCAGCAAAGAAATGCAACTCTTCTCTCATCTGTTTTATCAACACGGAGCTGCTAAAGGGAAAAAAAAATGAACTCATGCATTTTAGGGCTTCAAAACTGAAGCCACGTAAAAAAACCAGGGCTTTATTAATGGGGACACCGCGAGAGTTATTCATACACAGGGCTGTATCACATTTAAAAGCTGAGCCGAAACTTTCCTTTGTGTGCTGTTTTAAAACCATTCCATAATTAAGCCCAAAGAGATGACAGACATTTATCGACAGTTAATGCAGTGCTCCCACAATGTATTATTAGGCACAAGACCAGAGGCGCAAGGCCAAGTGCTGTTAATCTCCTAGCGAGTGCAGTAGTGTCTCAGATACGTACTGCCTGAAAATATCTGGTGATGTTGCTAATATTTTTTAAACAGCAGAAGTCTTGAGTTTTCACAGAAACTGATACACCGATTAACCCACCAAAATAAAAGTGTCATGGAAAAAAAACTGAGACAATTTGCCTAGCTTTTAACCCCCTTTGCCCACATAAGGAGTGATGTATAAAAAAGGGCTACTCCTTTGCCTTACCTCATGTTTTACTTTAGCAGTGTCAAATCTGATCTTTCGTGCTTGGCTAGAAACCTTTCCAAAACAAGTGGGAACGTCTATCAGCTTCTACCCAAGGCATAGGAAGTGCTGAATATTCAGTCATAGGTTTCCTTCCAAATGCTCTGCTTGTTTGTTTTAGGGAAGCCTTAAGAAGAGCAAATAAAAGAGGTCTGAAATCCTCTGAGCAAAGCTGACTTCTTTCTCTGAAGGTCATCCTCAAGTCATTTCAGAACCACGGAAATAGCCGGGGGGGGGATAAGCAGACTCAAAAGACACCTTTCCTTCTGAAATAACTTTGGTGCTGCAGGCTGAACTAAAAACATGCCCTCAGGTGGAGGTTTGCCACTTTTTATGGACCCAGACAATCTTCCCCCAGGGAGAAAGATGTGGTAACTTCTTCTTGCAAAGGTAACTCCAGCACAAGCACGACACAGAACGGAGAGCTCGCCTCTTCATAAAGACTTCAGTAGAAGTGATCAGGGTCGTCAAGGGTCTTACCGACAAGAACCTTTTTCCTTGGGACAAATCTTAACCCCTGCTTTCAGGGCCAGTGCTGAAGCTGGTATATTAAAACCGTACGGTTAGGTTCTGAATCAAGACAGACCCTTGATATTCCTTCACAATTTATGGTCTGCTCTGACTGAGAATATGCACTCAAATTTTTAATAACGCATTTAGCAAACATTAACTATGACTGACATACATATTCAGAGCAAATTTTGTTTAGGATCCAAACTGAAATTCATAATCACGTTAGCTATACATATTATTTAGCAGATGTTGCAACCTGAGTCACTAAAGACTTAATTTTGTGTAAACCTTGAGAAAGACCCGGGAACCCAGCGGGAGCTCTGCCTAAGCAAGAACTACAGGATTTGGGGCTCCCGTGCAGTTACACGCCAGGGCACACCACCGTCATTTCAGCGGCAGCTCAATATACCCCGTTTCTGTAACTGAAACGCCACCCCAAAAAACCGAGCGAGCGAGCAAGCGAACAAAAAAGTCTTCTCAGGCCGTTCGGGCAGGAGCAGCCGCTGCGCCCCCTCTACAG